AAAAATAAAGGTTATCAGATTCAGTCTCTCATATGAACAGAAAGATTTAAGCGTTATAGAATTTAGTCTCACCTGATTAATTTCTATTTTCACTGTAAGTTTCAAATCACTCATTGACTCCTACTTTTCAAGCAAAATGCATAACATACTGATCCAAATAATAAAAAAAAAATATTCACATACTGCACCTATGTCTCTGTCCTGCTCTGTGATCAAATTCTTGCCACTGTCCCTGCCAATTAGCAATCAAGCCCTACATCAACATGACAATCATCCACACCTCAGTGCTACAAGGATGAAAGAAAAAGCAAAAATACTCTTATTTAACTAATCAGTGCACAGTCAAATGAAAAGGAAAGAATGCAAAAGATGCCCAGACTTGATACCAGACACAAGGTAATAACTACCATGGATCTAAAAAATATCCACAAGAAAACCTGAAATAATGCAGAGCACAAAAACTGAGGAGAGAGGATCTTTTAAAGCTTTCACCAGGAATTTTCCTTTCTTTGTTGGTTTGACTATGATTTGCTTTAATTTCTATTGACAGCAAAGAAAAAGTATTTTTACAAATGTGTTTAGATTGTCTGGGAACAAAGGCTGCAGGAGTGTGGTGGGAGAATTACAGCAGGTGGCACTTTTTCTCCTCTTATCCCAGCTGAAGGAATGCCCACTTTAAATACTGTGAAAGATCTTTCCTGCCAAGAGAGATACAAAGGAGAGCCAAGTTGTGCTGATGCCAAGGCCCATGCCAAGAGAATGGGCTCCCCACCCACTCCATCCTGGGCATTTTTCATCTAGATCATTGTCCCCATTTCCTCCAGCTCCCCACATTGCTTCTGTTTGAGAGAGAACTGCTGCTTTCTCACACACTGAGAAAACCACACTTTTAGCAGCATGTTAAATCATCTCCACAGGCAACTCGTGAAGTGTTTGGGTATCTTCTGGACAAAAGGCAAATACAGGAGTTAACAACATAGTGGAAAAAAAACCCAAACCAACACTGTACATGAGTCAGTCAGTGCTGCTGCCTTCAAAACAAATGACTTTTTGAAATAGGAAGCTGCATTTAAAACTACTGTGTATTTACAAACATTTCTTTCATCTCTTGATTAAAGATTTCTTCTTGACTAGTAGAGATAAGGGCTCTGTTTACATTAGCTTCCTGCATGTAGAAGTTTAATTAAGTCTCAGAATAATTAGTTCCCATTAATCACAATTTTAGGAAAAATTAAATTATAGAATGTGAAAATGCACAACTCTCCATCTCAGCCTCTCTGAGCTGTCCTAGGTAACACATGGCTGGTAGCATCCAACCACAGTTCAACAGTCACAGGGAGGTTGGCTCCAATCCTCTCCATCTTCCAAGACCTAGATGGGCATGAACTCTTTCTAGAAATCTAATAAAGCCAGGAAAAGCCCAAATATTTTATATGTGTTGAAATTTAAAAAGTCAAATGACCTTGAACTTTCATTTTAAATGACTAATATTTTTCAGCTGCACTATGCTCTTAATCACAGAATAGAATGAAAATAGATTGTCATGTGTTTCCCTCCATGCTAAGTGTTTTATTTGTTCAGCAGATAGATGAGCTTTTCCTGAAAAAAAAAAATCGAAATGAAAAAACATACTGTGTTTTTAAGATTTATATTTTAGGAGGGAAAAAAAAAAAAGGAGAAAGCTCCTTCCTATTTCCATTAACATTTTCATTCAAGGTTTTGAAAACTTGAAAGGACATGATGTTTCATCATTTTGGCTTTTTTCTCCTTCATTGCAAAAAGAAATACAACTTTAGAATTAAGAACAAAAAACATAGGCAAGGAAAGGACAAGAGCTGGTTCTTTTCTCCCCTTCCTGAGTTTGCTTTTTAATTATGGCTAATTCAATGCACTATCTCCGTCCACAATTATCCCTCATCTTCACTCTCTTCCTACTGCACAGTCAACTTCTATTATGGGACTAAATTATGCTTCCCCTGTCATGTAAAGCAGCAAAGCCTCATCCTTGTGAAATAATTTTAAATGGCCTAAATGGGCTCTTACAAATGCACTCCCAGCCCTACAATAAGCTTGTCTTGTGACAGCTTTTTCCACATCCTCTGGAACAGCTGTTGAAACAGCTGGGAACAGAGAGCTTCAGTCTGGGACCAGTCACTCACTCAAAAACCACCAAGCACTCAGCAGAAAAGGAGTTTAGGTCTCTTGTGTTAAATATTACACTGTCTCCAGGGAGAAGCACCAGCTGAACCAAGTGTTTCCTCCACCATCCTTGACATGTCTCTCCATCCCTGCTCTGTCCATCTCTCTGTCCATCTCCACTGCACCTCCACTCAGGGACAGCTTCTTTGACTCCAACTCCTTACAAATAATTTTGGTGAGTGCAGTGTGGTTTAGATTTGGGGATTGGTTATGTTTTGTTTGTTCAAGAATGGAGGTAAAGTCTAAAATGAAAATATTAATGTGAACATTACTCCTGAAAACACCTGGTCTCACATGGAGTTTTTCAAATATCATAGTCTGATCTGTCCAGAAAATGGGGACAAGAATGAAACTTTCTGTGGTCACTTAGTGGACTGGCAAATCAAAAAGAAGACAGGAGGCACTGAACACTGAATTTATATGACATTAGCCTGGATGTTCAGCATCCTTTACTACTTGCTGTCAAGAAACTGCCAACTGACCCTCCATCAGTCATTTACAGAACGATTTTAAATGAGTCTCAGCTTCCTTTGTTCTCTTACCAAACAAGTGATAAAGAGTCTTCAGATAAGGTCTTGACTCCCAGTGTACCTTCTCCTGTACAGAAACACCTACAAATGGTTTACCAATCCACAGCAGTTTGCAGCCAGTATTTCCACCTCCAATATCAATATCCTCATTAATGCCAGAGCTGAAGGTGCCACCAAGTGCCTGCCTAAGTAAGGAAATGGCACTGTACCCTACCTTGATCAGCCACAGCTTCAATATTCACTTTGAGTTCATTTGCCATGAAGCCAATAACTGAGAAGATGACAAAGCCTGCAAATATACTTGTGGCACTGTTGGTACATGTGACTATCAATGTGTCCCTGCAAAGAAAAAAAAACAAGCCATGACAACTTGTTGCAGTACATGCCAGGAAGGTTTTGTACATATTTCAGGAGTCTCATGAGCCTTGTGGGGATGCTGATGAAGGCTCAAATTTTACACTTATCAGGTGTATTTGATGCTGATCAGAGAGCACAGAAGTCTTCATACCACCATCAGTGATCAGCTGTGCAGGTTTCCATCACCCACATGCCATGTAGGAACCACAGGCTGTGCAGAAGGACAAGTACTTCTGCTCTTGGCCTCTCTGAAGAAGTTAGCCATGATTACATGGTTTGTAACACAATTTTTAACTCATCTGCTCACTAGATTACATATGGACTAACCACTGCCATCCAGGTAAGATGATTTTTGGTTTGTATCCTTCTTGTCTTTATACAAAAAATTTCAAGGTTAAGCTTTCTGTACTTTGCAGGACTCACTCAAATACCTTCCCATCTGTAAAGGATTCCTTGGTGCATTTTTCCATTGTTGTTGTTGTTGTTAAAGGTGTCTGAAGAAATCGATACATGAATGTCTTATTATGCTGGATATGCCAAGACATGTGACTTGACAGGAAACCACCACCCATGAACCCCATCCATAGTTATTATATTCTTGATAGGATTTTTTCTTTTGAACAATATGTGTGTCCAGAGGACTTCTCCATAAACTATACCAATGTAGGAACAAACTGGTCACTCACTTTAAATGTTGAAGGGGTTACATTGCCTAGAATTGCTTATTTCCACTGCTATTTGTTTGTCAGGAACAGCATGAAATACAACCCAAAAAGTTGTCAAGAACCTCACTGAGATGGAAAACTACTAGAATTACTAACAGAACATCTCTTAAAAGGAATGGCTTGATTAATTCATTGGGTCTACAGAAAAAAACCTAATAATGTTCTGTTTGGAATCATCGTGTGTTGATTTTCTTCCAAAACCTAGATTAGTTGGAAGTAAAATATTTTGTGTATGCATTGTGAAGTCAATTTATGTAAATCTACTGCAATTACAGATTATTGAACTGTGTTTAAAGTTAATATGTAACTGAAAAGTACAATTTTATCTGCAGTATTAGAATGTAATTAATGTAAAAATTGGAAGAGAAAACATTTTAATTAATGTAAAAATTGGAAGAGAAAATATTCATTCATTTCAGTATTCAAGTTGTGCTGTAAAATTAAAAATATTAGAAGTAACAAAACTTTTCTGATTACTTCTACTTCAGTCTCCCATGTTCCTCTTTAACACAGGCAAAGCTTGTATTTAGTATTAGAACTGTAAGGTTTTTATACCTCATTTCATGTATTCCCATCAAAACTTTGATTAACTTCTTTCAAACTCCATAGAGCATTGCTAAATTAATGCAGAAAGGTAACATGATGCATCTCTATTTATTTTTTCTCTGCTATTCTGGCTTTATTCATTCATCAACCAAAAAAAAAAAAATCAAAGCCCAGGAACAGCATTTTCAAACACAGGACCCAAAGGAATGCTGGGAGGGAGTTCCTGAGGATGCAACAGTTAACCTTTCATCCACATTTGGGGATAATTATGTAAAATTACTTTTGAACTCGAGTAAAAATGTTTCTAAAATTCCTTTTTAAAATCCTGATCCATTTGTCTTCTGAAAGTATTCTCTATTCTGTATTTAGAAGTTAAAGGATATGGCAGTCAAAATCCCAAGGAGTTTGTGTTTTAAAGTCTTGAGCTGGGGAAGTTTTTAAGCATCCTCTTGGGACAGTCCCTGTGCATGATGTTGGCTGTCTTGGGTCAGCACTTCTGTCATTGCAGGAGTTGGAAAAGCTTTGCTTCAGATTGGCTTTGAAGACAGTGAAACAGTAGGAAAGAACTCTACTAATGCCACTTGCTTTTGGTTTTTCCACCTGCAGATATTTATCTTCAGGCTTCGGGATGAAAAACTATACTATGTTACCAGAATATTGACTTTTTTTCCTTATAAAAATTACTTTCGGTGATTTCAATGAAAAGTGACTTTAAATTTCACGACTTGCAACAAATTTGTACATGTAAAACCACACTAAGAGTAACTGTGGAAAGAAAAACAACACGTTTAGGAGATATGAGAATCATATATATGGAAGTTGCAAGTTAAACTCCTGCATGTGTCACAGCAGTAGGAACTGCAGTGATAGGACAAGGGGTAATGGGTTCAAACTGAAGGAGGGAAAGTCTAAGTTGGATGTGAGAAAAAAGTTTTTTACTCTAAGGGTGGTGAGATATTGAAACAGGTTGTCCAGGGATGTGGTGGCTGCCCCAACCCTGGCAGTGTTCAAGGCTGGATGAGCCTTGAGCAACCTGATCTAGTGAGGAGGTGTCCCTGCCCTGGGTTGGGACTAGTTGATCTGTAAGGTCCATCCAAACCCCTAAATTTTATGACTCTAGGATTCTGAAAAATGAAGAGCCAATAAGAACTCTAGTAAATCTAAGGCTCATCTTGAGACTGGTAGATTAGGACCTGGAGAGAAGAGACAACACACAAAGTCAAGAAAGATTAAATGTAAAAAAAACCATGCACCCAAAATAAAAACAGAACGAACAAACAAAACCAAAGAAATTTCCTTATGCCAAATGCTTGTTATTAATCATTTCAATTAGCAACACTTCAGAGGCAAAAAAAAACAGGAGGAAAAAAAAAGATGAGGAAAAAAAAGACTATTAAAAAAGACAAGAAAAAAAGGATTAAAAACACAAGAGCAAAGAAGACAAGAGGGGAGAGAAGACAAGAGGGAGAGAAGACAAGAGGGGAGGGGAAACAAGAGGGGAGGGGAAACAAGAGGGGAGGGTTTTACAAACCAGATTTCTGCAAGTTGAAAGATGACTGGGTTGGACAAACCTGTTTAATAAAACCAATGTATTCCACTCTTACATACCTGTAGCAATTATTATGGAATTTGTTGTAGGAAGAGAGAGTAATTAGACCTCCCCATGCTGCAGATAAGGAGAAGAAAATCTGAGTGGCAGCATCCTTCCAAACCTAAGTAAGACAAGCAGGAGAGAAAATAGCATCAGCTTCAGGAAAGCGTGTTAGAAAGATCAATAACACTATTAAATGTTGCTGAGAGGGGATTAGCACAATTACTTTAAATGAACTTTGGAACAGAGGATGTCAATAGAATAGTTGAAAGAAAAATCCAGCCATTGTACCTATTTGATGAAGAGCACTGTTCCTGTTAAGCCCATATAAAAGGACAATATGAAATTTACTGTATATGGGAGACAAATATCCAAACTATATTGTTTGATACATATCCATTCAAATCTATTCAGAAAAATAAAATAAAACAAGAGGAAAAATCTGCATCAGATACTGATGTTTTCTCTACCAGTGACCCTAAATAATACCTTATCCATGTAAGATGGAGAACAAGTTGCCAGAGATGACAATATCACCTCTGCACATAGAAAATGTTTGCAACAGACTCTGAGCTCTGTATGATTTATTCACCCTAGTTGTAAGTGCTGTAAGAGCAATAGTAAGAGTTGTAAGTGCAATAGTAAACCCACCATAGCATCAATTAGCTTCTCCCACTTTGGTGTGATGAAGTACCAGATTCCAGCTCCTGCGCCAGGGAGAGTTACTCCTCTTATAAGAAGGATGATAAGAACTACATAGGGGAATGTGGCTGTAAAGTACACAACCTGGACAGAGCAGAGAAAAGGTTATTGGAAAGGCTTATTTGGCCAAGAAGAGAGAAGAGGGAAATACAAGTGCTACATTATTGCCTGAAGAAAGCAGTTATTCATGCTCAGAGACAACAGTCAGGGGATAAACTAGGAAACAACAGCATTATTTCCCAGGAAATCTGAAATTTTGCAGCTCTTCATGCTGCTGGAAAAAGGAATAACATCAATAGCAACAGAGGTTAGAGTTGGCGTTCTAGATAGAGAGGGGAAGAAGGTTCGTCTCCATCTGGAGAGGAACAATAGGAATTTACAGCTAAAAGAAAATATCACCTTTGATCATTGTTCAGAGTAAACTATGGAAATGAAATGAGAAATGCCATTCAATAACACATTTCTGGGTTTTTTCCTATATATTTCTATAAATTTCTCTGTATTTAACTAAAAAAAAAAGATCCTAAAGAATTTTTATTACTGTTTGTAACTCTTCATAATTGCATAACACCATGACAATATGGTCCAAATGCAAAACAGAAAAGTCAGTGAAATTATCCAGATAGACATCATCATCATCATAATGTCTAAATATACAACTGTGGTTGTTTGTTTAATGTCTTAATAATTATCTAGTACAGAGCTCTAGACACAAAAGTTTTTCAAATATTTTTCACATTAAATTCTAAGGCTTACATGAACCAGAATCATAACATGTTGTGGAACCATATCATAGAATGGTTTGGGTTGGAAAGGACCTTAAAGATCTTCTTGTTCCAATCCCACTGCCATGGGCAGGGACATCTTCCACTGGAGCAGGTTGATCAAAACCCCATCCAACCTGGCCTGGAACACTTCCAGGGATGAGGCATCCACAGCTTCTCTGGGCAACCTGTGCCAGTGCCTCAGCATCCTCACAGGGAAGAGTTTCTTCCTAGTATCTAACCTAAATTTGTCCTCTTTCAGTTTGAAGTCCTTATCCCTTGTCCTGTCACTCCATGTCCTTGTCCAAAGTCTCTCTCCAGGTCTCTTGTCACCCCTTTAGGTACTGAAAGATACTAAAAGGTCTCCCCAGTACCTTTTCTTCTCCAGACTGAACAGCCCCAACTCTCTCAGCATGTCTTCATTGCAGAGGTGTTGCAGCCCTCTGAGCAATGTTGTGGCCTCTTCTGGACTCACTTCAACAGGTCCATGTCCTTCTTATGTTGTGGCCCCCAGAGCTGGACACAGGACTCCAGGTGGGTCACACCAGAGCAGAGGAGGAGAATAACCTCCCTGAACCTATAGTCTGAGCTGAAGTGACTTTTGAAACTGCTTTCCTGACTTTCTCTTTGCTGTTTCAAGAGGTATTTGCACAAGTTGCCCTAATGAATTTTTTACAGTCAATATACTGAATTAATCTCTGCATAGAGAGGATTTCTCTCTCTGACACCAAGGAGTCAGTATTTTTCTCTCTGACACCAGAGAGTTAATATTTTTCTTGGCCACTAAGAGTCATTTAAAGAAATATCTACTGCCACATCTAATCCCAAGTTATTAACCAGTACATTGTCTGATTCTTGACTTTTGTCTTCGTGAATCATTTTTTCCTATCACACTAGGGTAGGGGAGAAGAAAATATCTGAGCTTTCCCCTGGCACTGAGTCTCTGGATTTTCTGTTAATTCCCAACCTTCCAACAGATGATGTCAGCTTCTAGACACAAAGGGATGTCTTGCAATCAGAAACTCTCTGATCAGCTCTAGAAAATTCATGTCTGGATTTCCACTATCTTTATGCCCTGAAATATCTAGTTATTTTGCTCCTGCTTGAAGTTCAGTTCTGAATTTCAAACATGTTCTTTAACATCCTAATTTACATCACAATTTTCTGTATTCCAGTGAAATATGAGATGAAGACAGAAGTTTGATGAACACCACACAGAATAGGGAATAAGAATAGGCACCATTTTTGCCATCCCACTGCTAAGCACAGCTCAAGAGCTCATTAGGGAACAAGTCTTGAACCAAAATTGTTTGTTTATGTTTTGACTAGAAAGGAAAACACAGATATGAAAAAGGCAACTCAATTAATTCTTAGTCATTTACAGAAAATATTTTCAGTTATTCACTGCCTTAAAGGAGAGTGTGAGGCCCTTAAAACAGAACATTGCTTTCTTGTGAGTGTACAGTCCCATCGTTCTTACTTTTCCTGATGACTTGATTCCTTTAGCAAGGGAGGCATATACAATCACCCAAGCTAGGAAAAGAGATAGTGCCAAGGGCCATCTAATCTCACCAGGATATTCAATCCCTGCTGAAATCTTCAATACAAAGTACCTAAGAATAAAAGGAAAAAAATTTAAAAGGGGGAAAAAAAAGGAAAAAAAATAATGAGAGCAACCACAGGCAGCAACTCAGTGCAAATTCCTATTGTATTTTGTCTTGCTTCAGCGTCCTCAGCAGTTTCTCTAGAAGGCTCCAGCAATTCTCACCATGTATTATTTTATTTATCTGCATTGCAGTAGTAGATAAAACTGCCATGCTTGGGCCAACCCCCCAGCTGTGCTAAGCACCATTGGAACAGAACACAAATAATCAGCGTTTGAATTTAGCTCTCAGAATCCCTAAGCATAAAAAAAAAGCATTCTTTTCTGTTCTTAATTATTGTATTTCTAGTTTTCCAAGCAGTGATTTCAGATTTGTTGCCTGTTCCAGTGGATTTTAAAGAAAGATTAACATAACGTCTCTAAACAAAGAAAGATCTTACTTGAAGTATTCTTCACTTCCACTGACAAACGTTTTGTTTCCTTCCCTGGTGAAGTTAACCATGGTTAAGTTTGGATAGGCACTCATACAGAAAGTAGAGTTCTTTATTTGTATTTTTGGATGGTCACCAATAATGCAGGAATCTAGGAAGAAATGAGGGGGCAAAAATAAAAAGAGAAAAATAAGGCGTATAGATTAATTTTAGTTTTATTTTTAATTTGGTTGTAAAATTACAAGCAAGTTTAGTAAGTTTATCTTTCCCCTTTTCATGTCATCCTGTGGTTTGGGCCATTTGCAAAAACGAGTTTCGTTTTTTTTCGTTAAAGAGACGCCTCTCTAAGGACAAATAATTTACCTTCAACAGACACCCGAGGCTGCCAACTACGGCATTTTGGTCCGAACTTTCTCCCCTACACAGAGTTTTCCCCGGAGGGAGGTGGTGAGAAAAGAAGTTGGGCTTTTTTAACATTATAATTGAAAAATCTCAGTTATCCTTGATGAGAAAAAAAATTAAATTAAAGGAGAGGGAAGCATGTGATGCAAATAACTTCAAAGTGGCTTGAGAAGGGATCGTTCCCCCGTGCTGGGAACTTTGCCTAGCCACGATCATCCGCAGTCTCCTCTGGCATCTCCCAGGGGCGCAGCTGAGCTGAAGAAAGCTCTGGAAAACCACTAGGGCCACCTAAATTTAAAAATAAAATAAAGTCAAAACAAAAAAATCAGCATAAAATAAAAAGGATGTCCCAACTTACCTAGCAAAAGTTTGTTTTTATCTTTACAGTCTGGCGTGTTCCACGGGTTGTTACAGGAAGCCCAAGGTAGCACAGGTACAAAGGACGCAAAAAGGTAGAAAAGTGTGTAGCACAGAATAATATTGTAATATATGGCTATTAGAACCGAGATGATCAGCATCGCAATGCCGCAGCCTGGGAAGAGACACGGAGAGAGGAGGAGAAGGCTCGTTAAGGAGGTTAATCCCAGGGCCGGGGGAGCAGCGGGGGGAGCAGAGGGACACAGCATCACCTTCCTCGGGCACAGCTCTGCCTGCTCCGGGGGCTGCTCCGCTGGGACATGCGGGACGGGGCGCGGGGGCTGAGCCATGCGAGGGAAGAGGTGCAGGTCATGCTCCCCCAAACCGGGCCGACTCCTGCTCCGCTCACCTTGCAAGGCAGGGATGGCTTTCCAGACCGACACGGGGCCCTGACTAGCAAACTGCCCCAGGGAGACTTCCAGGAAGAAAATAGGGATCCCAGCTAGAGCCAACATCATCAAATAGGGGATGAGAAACGCACCTTGGGGGGCAGGGGGGAGAGAAGAGAGAGCAACCTGAATCAGCCCGCGATACTGGGGATAACTTAGTCAAGACATACAGCTATTTTTTTTTTTTTTTATTTGTTATCGATTCCCGCTGCCGCCAACCTCGACGGGGCGTGGGGAGTGGGGCGGCAGTTTGCCGCATTTCCAGCATTTACTCGGGACAATCTTATTGTTAAATGATTGTTTTAACACCTCCCGCTTAGAAGTACTTATGCGTAAAAAAAGAAAACAATTAAAAAAGCTCACAATTTTAAAAATGGTTTAAAATCACTTCTTCCCTCACAGGAAACAGCTCTTACGGGCTCTACACAACTGGTTTGGACGACCACAGCACCAATATCCTCTGCTGACAGAGGGAAGGGGCTTACATCTGCAGGGGTTTGAGTCCATCAGCACTCACCGGTTCTCCCTTTAAATCAGAGCCTCTGGCAGGGAAACCCCTGCAAATAAACTTTTTCTTCCCCTTATTAACTATTACAGGCACAACCCGTGTTCCACCTTCTCTATTCTGTCGAGAAACGTTCACTCTATTTCAAACGATTATTTTTCAATCAGATCACCGAGAGATTTAAAACAATTTTCCCAGTCTTTACGAAATAACAAAACATCTCTACGCGGGTTCAGATGTCCTTTTGTGTCTATCCTGGTTCCTGCCCTGTGTGTCCCTCCTCCCTCGTCTTCCCCCATCCCACCCATTGCAGATTCAGACCCGACTGAGTTTAAACGAGGTGAGAGGGGCCCCGGAGCCCTCCCTCTATGATCAACCCGCCCCTTGATTTTTCTCCCTCTCAGTCCAGCACCAATTGCTGGGTTTTTTTAAGGAAAGCGCTACTTTTTAAAGAAATCTCGTCGGAGCTTTCCGACTTTCAGACCCGACCATCAAAAAAAAAAAACCAAAACAAAAAACCCCAATCAAACCAAACAACAACAACAAAAAAACCCAAACCCTAAAAACCAACCAAAACCCAGGCAGGTTTACCAAGTTGTTGATGAGCTGAAGGTGCCCCCGCACCTCTGCTCAGCCCAGGACTCGCTGCCAGGCTTTGCCCTGCAGCAGGGAGCACCCTGTCCCCGCTTCCCTCCTGTTTTTCCCTGCCAAAAAGGCAGGGACTGGCTCAGACCCGTACGGTACTGCAGGTAGAGAGACAGGAAAAAGCCATCATACCTCCCCCATTCTTAAAGGCCAGGTACGGGAACCTCCAGACATTGCCCAGCCCCACTGCATAACCCACCATGGAGAGGATGAAATCCAGCTTGCTGGACCAGTTCCCTCTGGCTTTATTTTCATCCCCCACATCGTCTTCCTAAAAGGGGAGAAAGTGGGGGAGAAAAAGGAGAGAGAGAGAGAGAGATGGGAAACAGCCACTTTTGCAAACAAGATCGCGGTGCTGCGGCTGCCGGTGGCACTGGGGGGAGACCCGGGGAGCAGCGGCGGAGCTGGGGGGCCCCTCCCGGGGTGCCCCTGGCCTGCAGCCGCCCCTGTCAGGCTTCCTTTCTGCCCAAAAAATAAACCTCATACCATGGCTTTGAAACCATGGCCCTCCGCGGACGGCTCGGGGTAAATCGCCTGGCTCCCAATCCCCTGTTCCAGGGAGGTCCCATTGCCTCCTCTGGGAATTGATGCCCTCGGAAGAGTAGGGACGACAGCACAGCAGGGGCACGAAGTAAAGAAAAAAACCTCTTTTACAGAACAGTCCACCACTCTCCTGCCAGGGCAAGTGCAGATACTGAGGAGGACAGGGAGAGCATCAGGGGCATCTCAATAGGCACCTGGTTCTCACACCCCACCGGGGAACCCCCTCCCGGGAACCGGCGCATTTCGACCTCTCCTGGGATTGGGCTGATTAGTTTTGCCCTATTTTTGGTTACAGGGCCCGAGGCATGCAGCTTCCAGGGGTTTGGGCAGGCGACCGAGACTGAGCAGGGGAAGAGCAAGGCATCCTTCTCCCCTGGCTGGGGACAGGACCAGGCTTCGTGCAGGGAGGTGTGAAGGTGTGCACACCGTGTACTGCGGGTCAGAACGGGCACACAAGAGGCTCTGCTCGGTGGACGGGCTGGAATTACACAGGATGGTCGTCTGTACCGATATTACATTATTAGCACTCGCCAGCAGTACAGCGCTGGATCTATGATCCTCTCTCCCCTTTCTCCTTCCCTCCTCCCCACGACACAGACACATCCCCGACTGATGTGGACCTGATTTGAGAACTTCACTCCCAAATCGGTGCTGAGTGGCAAAGACCTCCCACGAGCTGAAACTGGGGAAAGAAACCCTGTAAGGAGAAAACTCACCCCCTCCACTGTGCCAGGAAGAACAGAAGTGGTGCCATCTGTGCCCAGTACCACGGTACTCTGGCTCAAGGTCACCCAGGCGTTGTTTTGCTCCAGTGTGCTCTTACCAAGGCTTAGATTAGCGTCCCCGTCTGTGCTTTGCAAAGCGGGAATTTTGCAATGAGGGATAGCAGCTTGCCCAGTGGTCCCTGCCCCGAGGCTGTGCTTGCAGGGAAAGGTTTCCACGGATTCCCGTCGGAGGGTGGAGTTGGCTTGCACCGGGGTGCTGCTGAGCTTGCAGATCCCGACTTTGGTCCTCTCAAAATCATTTGGTTTAGCTTCTTCGGAGGGAAGAGTTTTGTTGTCGTTAGAGAGTGACCGGGGAAGCTTGGCCATCGCGGCAGGGGCTTGCGCTGGGACATTCTGCGGCTCATTTTCGGGGCTGATTCTTACAACTCCCGCACCTTCATTGGGTCCAGGAGCCAAGGTTTCAGGATTGTTCACAACCTGCTTGCTCATATCCCTTTGACTGGCGTAATCCTAAAATGAGAACGTCACATATTTTACCAAAAGAAGAAGAAGGGGAAAAAAAAATTGTTGGGACTGCAGAGATTCTACGGATTTCTATCCTCGTGTACAAAACGCATGCGCTGGAAAACCTGGATACGAGAGTGTTGCAGGATTTCGAGGCGCCCCGGCTCGCCCGCTTGCCCTCCCATTAATGTTAATATTCTGGGAGGAAAAAACAGTAAGGAAAACAAAAAAAATCCAAACCACCCTCAAACAAAAGACAGCACCAGCGCCTGCAAACCCGTAATTCGAGTTTAAATAAGTGTTTCTACAGCACTGCGCCGCCAGACCTCGTTAGATTTCACATCACGACTGTAGGATGCTCCCTTCCCTATCACCAGTGTAGAAAGATTCTTTAATTTTACGCCCCATTTCCTTTCTGTCATTCAACAATGCACATCGACTTTTTTTTTTATATATATGAGCAAGAGACAAGCTGCCCTGTAGGCAGCCGGAGATGTTAAAAAACAAGTGAAATAGTGCTGGTGAACATTTCTGAGCTGGCTGCCACGCTTCAAAGCTCGGCAGCAAGACAGTGAAATGCAAAATCCCCCCAAAACGTAACCACACTACCACAGCAGAATTACCGCCAGTAACAGCTTTTCCCTACTCCTTTTCTTATATTTCTGACTCTAAAGATTTCTGTAAACGATTCCTATTCATTAAACAGATTACTGACGGCACTCCCACACTCACCCATGCCTTTCCCTCCAGTTTAAAATTATAATTTAAAATGCATCTTCTTTTTAAACATTAAACAACCTGCAGACAAATCTTACATTTTCTAGCAGTTTAACCTTAGCTTTACAAATACACCTTCTTTATGTTTTTTAGACTGTTTAACAAAACTGCCCGTCACCACTTCCCTCACAAGTTTTTTCTCTACCATAATCCCATCTCCCAGCATCAGGGAGAAGATCTGCAAGGGCTCGGTCACCAACCTAGTGCATTTTGGGGTACCACCGTTTTTCCCCTCCCTCGCCCCTTCCCCAGCATCATCCCTACCCCAGTCCTCGGGATGCTTCCCTCGCTGGCTCTGCCGGCAGCACCGAGGACAGCTCCCCCTCCACCACCTCTTCCCTTCCCCAACCCTTCTCGATATCGAAGAGAAGAAATTAAGCACTTACCATATCTTAAACAGCCACAGATCTAGTCGATAGAGGTAAAAACGGCAGTACAGGCAATTAGCAGACTGAATTTTGCCCAGTCCAGAGCAAAGCTTTCTATACTTCCTTGGGAAAGACTGGGTTTGCGTCAGTGCATAGCAAGGTGCCCTTCGTGTGACATTTTCTTGATAATAAGAGTTTGATAAATCATTACCCTTGGTTTGAGATTTTAAAGGGACAACAAGCAGCCGGAGCCTCGGTTAGCTGTCACTCAGGCGGGAGTGGGATTGCGTGTTCCCTGTGACTCATATGGGGGCTGACTACTAAACCAAATCCAGCAAGAGCACGGAAGAACTTTTTTGCTGGTAATTAGAGTCAACATGTGAGAAACACGTACTACTGCACCCAAAGCTAGAGAGAAATGGAGGGAAACCTTCCATTTCTACCCCTCTCCCTCCTCCCTCTTACTACAGTGTGATTCTACAGTGTGTTTTGCTGCATTTCTGGAGTTTGGAGTCCGAGCAGACGCTATAATTACTTGTTTACATAGATTCTGATTTTATGTATCCATATATACAGATACAAAAACATATGTGAAAATTATAAATTTTATATCTAACCACATACCTATGCACAGAGGGAGAATTTCACTGTGTATAGTACACAAACACATTTAAATTGTATCTCTCTTGTTTTCGTTGCACCAAATAATATTTTATCCTCAATTTTTACTATGCCTTATGGGGGGAAACCCTCAGCCCTAATTAAATTTAAACGATTCATACAATAAAGCGATCTTCTCTTTCATCAAAACTGTCTTAAGAGCAGTTAAGTGGGAGCAAAGACGACAGCAACAGCCGTAAAGTTGTTGGTGTTCTTCCCCCACCCATCAAGTCATTTATATTTGATTATTGGAGGAGAAATTACTCATCATTAAAAGTCAAATGTTAACTCAGAATCGTTTCAGCAACGAACTAATTCATACCTAATCACCTCTCGTAAGTGTGATTTGCTATTTGAGGGGCTTGCTCAACGATTTCTTGAGCACAAGGTAATTCTGACACGCTGACAAAAAAAAAAAAAAAAAAAAAAAAAAAGCGCATTGGCAAATAGGGATGTTCCCCAAGCAACCTTCCCAGCGGTTTCAGCGTCAGAAACGCTGTTCCTCTGCATAGACTCTGCTAGCGTCAGCTTCTCCAGGGAGTATTTTACATTTTAGCGTAAGCACTGTGAAGCTTTGCGCCTGTGCGGGGGAGGGAAGGAGGGGAGGGTTCTTCTACGTCCTTGGCTTTACGGGTTGCTAACATTTATTTCAGCGGACAAAGTAAATAAAAAACATCGCAGTAGCCCAGATAGCTCTGCAGAGCCGCTGGCTGCACAGTGTCATCAGGAGCTGCCACCCCCGGAGGGACCAGGAGCTTTGTTCCTGCGGCTCCGCGGGGGGGGGGGGGGGCGGGG